AGCTCTTTCTGGAAGGTTCTGATGGGCCGGGTCGCGCACCTATGACACCGGCTGTGATGCATCCACAAGCTTTTGCTTCAGGCGCCCGGGTGCTGCCGGGCTGAGCCCCCCAGACAGGAGCCAGCACAGAGGGCAGGGGGGGACTCATCAGCGATGGCGGCTGATCACGGTCCGGCTGAGCTCAGGCTGCGCCCTGCGTCCCTCCCAGGCCCCGTGTCCGCTGGTCCCTGCGCTGTGCGGGCTCAGGGCTGCAGGCTCTCCGCCAGGGATCCGCTCAGCACAGAGAGATTCTCTCGGCCCCGTTTTATTCTCTGTAACCTTCACTTTCCAGAACAGGACCCAGCACAGCCCCCCGCCCCCCGCAGGCCTCCCCAGGTTAGGGCCCCCGCCCTGAGCCTAGTCGCCGTACTTCACTGAGGTCTTCAGCTCCTTGGTGACGTAGCCCTCGAGCAGCTTCAGCAGCTGCTCCTGCAGGGCCTCGCTGCCCATGACCAGCTTGGTCAGGTGCTCGACGTCCCTCCACTGCAGGTTCCCGATTTTGGCCACGACGTGGTTGCAGAGCTTCTCCTGCTGGTGAGGCGGCAGCTCCTTCAGGATGTGACTGACCGGCTTAAACTCCGTGCTCCACGACAAGGACCCTAAGAGCCCCCCGAGAACGCTCCCTGGGGAACAGGAATTTCGTTTAGTCAGGCTGTTCAGCATGCCGGCTCGAGCTCGCTGGGAGCTCCTCCCCACGATTCAGGCCACAGCCCATGGGGGGGTCCCCCGGGAACCTCCTGCTCCCAGACCAGAGGGAGCAACTCACCCGACCTCCAAGGGATCATGGGAAGTAACCAACCTCCCCCATTGGCAGAAACTGGTCCCCAGACGGGAGCGGGGGTGAGACCAGGGGCAGGTGCATGAGGGCGACTGTGGGCGCTTCTCCTGCACAGACTGGGGACCGAGGACCGGGGACCAGGGACTGGGGTGGGGCTGGGCGCTCTCTGAACAGCTAACGTGAGCGGCCAGAGGCCTGGAATCCCAGCTCCCTCCCTGACCCTGCAATGAAGACAGGGCACACCCCTTGTGCAGGGGACACAGGGCACACCCCCGGGGCAGGGCGCCTTCCAGTCCGCAGGCACGGAGCCACAGGAGGGCGCCCTGCGCTTCTGAGACACAGACACGTGTGTCCCACCAGGACACATCTGTACAGAAAGACCAAGTCTCAGGCTCATCTCGCCAGCCCCTCATGCGGGTCGCGTGAGGCCCCTGGGAACCTGAGAGCTCTGTCCCCCACCCCACGGGGCACTGCACTCACCAACGACTATACCCGGCGGGCCTCCGACCAGGTTCCCGAGAGCTAACCCGCTGCCGGCTAACACTATGGCTCGCCGCTTCCGGTACTTGACGACCACCTTCATCTTCTTCGCCTCTGCGAGGGAGCACAGCAGGCTCATGGCATCCTCCACCGTTAGGTACATCGCACACCTCACCGGCCTGCGGAGGGAGGGTTCCCACGCGTCAGTTCCCACCCAAAGCTCGCTCTTCCCAGTGTCCAGGGCGGACCCCGTGCTCCAGGAGGACCCCAGCTCTGCCGTGGGTGAGAGGACAGCACCATCACGTGACAAGTCCTCTGTCACCGAGAAAGCAGAGCTGTCGTTAGTCAATAAGCAAACAGGCCCGGCCTGTGTGGCTCAGTGGTTGAGCATCAACCTATGAACCAGGAGGTCAGGGTTCCATCCCCGGTCAGGGCACAGGCCCGGGTTGCGGGCTCGATCTCCAGTGTGGGGTGTGCAGGAGGCAGCGGATTCATGATTCCCCTCTCATCATTGATGTTTCTCTCTCTCTCTCTCCCTCTCTCTCGCCCCTCCCCCCCCGCCTCTCCTTTCCTCTCTGAAATCAGGGGGAATATATTTTTAAAAATAAATGAATACATAGAGAAGAGCAGCCTGCTGCACCCCTCTGGTAGTTTAGAGCTGGGCTTGCGGGTCACTCTGCTGGGACCCTGGGCAGTGACTCCGAGGATGGAGGGGGCCTCCCAGTGGCTTCAGTGAGGATTGAGGGAGGTAACACCTGCAATGCGAGTCCCGCTGTGCCCTGTGCCCTGTGAGCTGTGGGCTCGCAGTGGGTGGTCCATGTGGTTTATTTTCCTTACGAGTGGCCTCTTGCACGGATTCATGCACATTGAAAGGAAATTAATTAAAAGAAATATTTTAATATCACTATTTGCCCTTTCTCCATGATAGAAGTGTCAACAAATTCACAATTGACAATGACAGATGGAAACATACTCGTGCAATTGGTGCCACTGAAAGCTTTATATGTATCGCACATGCCCGAGTCAACTTAGCCTTTTATATATCTCATAGTTACCCAGTGCAAGAAATCGCGCGAGACCCGGGACCCCAGACCTCACCATGCCACAGGACTCCCCCAAGTCCCGCTGCATTGCGCGACCCAGAGTCAAGTTTCCGCCCAACCACCTGCGCCTTGCCGCGCACGCAGTCCTGCCCACCTGTGCCCACCTTGCCATGCACACAGCGTCCTGGTGACCGGTCTTTGGTCGTTATGGCATTAGGGCCACTGGGTTTTTATACTAAGACCAGGTGCATGAAAATTCATGCACTGGAAGGGGCTCGCTCAGCCCAGCCTGCCCCCTCTCACAATCTGGGAGCCCTCATGCGGGGGAAGGCAACCTGGTGATCAGGGGAAGGCGAAGCGCCATCACACCACTGCTGCTGCCACTGCCGGCAGCACAAGCCTCAGCTGAACCTGGCTACCTGAGCCTCGGGTGGCCCTGGGCAGCTGGGGGCCTGAGGGGACTGGGCACCACCATCTTGTGGCTGTGGGCACCGCCATCTTTGAGAGTGGGGCAGTCAATTAGCATATTCCCTCTTTATTAGATAGGACTAGAGGCCCAGTGCACAAATTTGTGCACCAGTGTGGTCCCTCCGCCTGTCCTGCAGGATTGAGCCAAAACCGGCTCTCCAACATCCCCCAAGGGGTCCTGGATTGTGAGAGGGTGCAGGCCATACCGAGGGACCCCACCAGTGCACAATTGGGGCCAGGGAGGGACACGGGAGGTTGGCCAGCTTGGGAGGGACTGTGAGCGGGCTCCAGGGCATGTCTGACCTATCTCACTAAGTCCCAATCAGCCAGACCCCAGCAGCAAGCTAACCTGCCAGTCAGAGCATCTGCCCCCTGCTGGTCAGTACACATCATAGCAAGTGGTTGAGCAGCCTTAGCATATCATTAGCATATTACACTTTGATTGGTTGAATAGATGACCCGTTGACCAGACACTTAGCATATTAGATTTTTATTATCTGTAGATATGAAAAGCCAGCAACCATAATGGCATCATGACCAGAACAACCAGAGACCAGAACACTGCAGCCCCAGGCTGGCCCCGCCCCCAGTGGGAACCCCTCCCTGATGGGGGTGTGGCCGGCCTGCAAAGCCCCTGCAGCTCCATGCCCTGGCTGGCCACGCCCCCCCGTGGGGACCCACCACCCAGGTCCAGGTCGCCCATCAGGGAAGGTCAGCCAGCCTCCACCCATGTACTAGGCCTCTATTCCTATATAATAAAAGGGTAATATGCAAATTGACCCTAAAGGCGGATCGATCAGAACGACTGCTGGACCAGGCAGTATGAGACACACTGACTACCTTATGGTCCTTTTCCCCGGCCAGCAGGCTCCAATCACCTGATGGTGAACGGGGAACCGGGGCTGGGTGTCAGGGGATGCGGGTGGCACCAGGCCAAGACCCCCACCCCACTGGTCACCCCACACCCAGAGGTCAACCCACGACGGGGGCAGGGGTGGTGAGCGGGCGGGAACAGCCGACCTCTCAATCCCTTCCTCTGGCTGTCAGTCATCAATCACCCGATGGCAACAGGGGAACGAGGGGTGGGTGGCAGTGGTGGGCGGGGCCAGCTGTGGGCAGCCCGGGAAATGGCCCTGACTGCAGGCCAGGCCTAGGAACCATACCCACACATGAATTTCGTGCGCTGGGCCTGTAGTATAGGATAATAAACTTGCTTAATTAGACCTGCTTTCTGATGTAGCTAAACTTTTCCAGCCCAGTGAAGCACCCCAACTTCTCTTTCAGGTAATTGTCAGCAACACAGCAGCAAATATCAACATGAAGCAGATGATTATTGTAGATCATGCAGGGAGAACAAAGGGTAAAATATTTAACTGCAGCCGTGTCTGACTATATTCTGTGCAGTGAGAAAACCTGAAGTCATTGTCAAGGTCCACCATTTCTTACTTCTTTTCAGTTGGGTCAAGTTTCTAAGCTTTCTAAATCTCCATTTTCTGGCTAATGAAAAGAAAACAGGATTCCACCGAGTCTCCTATCTGCCTACTCCAGGACTTCTGTGAGGATCAAATGAGATGAGGCACGGAAAACGCTTCACAGACATTTGGTTAAAAAGTGTGAAATGTTTGCACACTTGGCTATAAAGCAAGCCGTGTACCTGGGCTGAAGACACTGCAAGGAGGCTAGTCTCTAGGGAGAGGAAGCCGGGCGTTGCTACCTGATGTCATTACCTGGATGGACACTTAGCACCTTAGCCTTTTACGTAGACAGATTCCTGTTCTTTCTGTGGGGGGGGGGGGCCTTCTGGAAGCCCAGGGCTGGGTGAGGCTGAGAGGCTGCCCTGTGTAGGGTAGGGTGGGAGTTATGGGGCATTAGAGGGGGGGTAAGCACTTGGACGGCGGCACCCCCCTCGACCACACCCGCCTGACCCACCTGTTAGAAATGCTGTCAACGATGTGGCAGGAATGAAAGAAACACTTGACACTGGATGGGCAAGGAGACTGACGCCTGCGAGAAGGGTGCTCCTCCAGCTGGAATCCTGGGCCACAGCACACAGAACGGGTATTCCTTTTCGGTTTTATTTCCTGACCCGGGTCTGCCCGCCCCTCACTCTGAACTCTGACTTGATTGGTCAGGACTCAGAGATCGGATTCCCATTAACGCGCAATTGGCTAATTCCGAGGAAGGGGAGGGGAAGGCGGAGCCTAAGGTGGGGGCCCCCTGAGAGTCTGAAGGTCATATCAGAAATGGCAGAGCTCCTTCCTTTGACGGAAAGATCGCTGGTTCACTCTCACCCCCCCTCCCGGCCCCCAGTGCCCGGGGAGACACCCCAACTCCTCCTCCTGGCTGTGGGCTGTGACAGGCCCCCGTGGCCTGTCTGACCTGATCTCACCCTCCTCCCTCCACGGCCCCCGAGGGTCCCCGAGCTGTTCCCTGGGCCCAGAACATGCCCCCCTCCGGCCTGTGCAGGGCTGGCTCCCCCACAGGGTGCAGGGGGTGCCCGGTGACTGTCCCCGATCCTGCCTGGCACCACCCAGCCCCCCGGGCACGTCAGCCTTCCTCCTGGCGGCCAGCACGTGGCATCAGAAAGGACCTGCTCGGTTCTCCTTCTAGGAAACGCCTCCCACCAGGAAGTCTGTCTCTGAGGACTGGTCCCCACTCCCTGCTGGGAGGGTGCCCACACCCCTCTGCCAGGTGCCCACAGCCCTCTCCCAGGTGCCCACAGCCCTCTCCCAGGTGCCCACAGCCCTCTCCCAGGTGCCCACACCCCTCTGTCAGGTGCCCACACCCCTCTGTCAGGTGCCCACACCCCTCTGTCAGGGCTCAGAGCTGTCCTCCCTCAGGGAGGGAGGGAGGGAGGTTCATTTTCTGGTGAGAACAGCAAAGAACATGGGGATGGGGGTGGGGAGGCAGGAGGAAGCGGGGCTGCTGTTTTTACCAAGAAAAGCCTCCAGGTCCTGGCACACAGGGTGGGAAACTATGGTCATGGGGAGGTGGGCGGATGGCCGGAGGAGCTCTTGGAACTGGGCCAGGCCCTGTGTTCACTCCTCTCAAGCAACCTCACAGGGCCTCTCGTTCAGGGGGGAACTTGGA